CCCCAAAACCCCAAAACCCCAAAACCCCAAAACCCCAAAACCCCATTGTAACGAAAAATTATTGAAAGTAAAAGTAAAGATGTATCCAAAATTTATTTATGGTTCCTTCAGAGAAGAAGAGAAGTGAGAGGATAGCACAGAGGTTTTATACAATAAGTTATCCATTGAAGATGATTTTAAACTTCAAGAGATCCCAAAAGGAGGAGGAGAAACCCTTCTTGAAGGATGGAACAAAGCTGCTGAAATGTTCCCAGATAACAACTGCTTAGGACATATTGAAGGAGACAAGTATGTATGGAGAACCTACAAAGAGGCTTTACATGAAGCACAGTGTATTGCTAAAGTTCTATTTACAGAGGACCTTATTCCAGAAGTCTCAGATAAGGACAAATCTTATAAATTCGTTGGTTTATACTCAAGGAATAGACCCGAATGGGCATTGGTCAATTGGGCTCTAGTGCATTTTTCAGGGACAGTTGTATCTCTGTACAACACCCTTGGAGAAGAATCGCTATGCTATGCAGTAGATCATACAGATTTGGGAATAGTAGCTTGTGATAAGGCTTCATTTAAAAAGATGCTAAACCTTCGTAAAGAAGGAAATGCCAAAACTATCAAACATTTAATTGCTTTTGATGAAGTTGACGAAGAAGAGATAAAACAGGCAGAAGAGTATGGTATCCAGATCCATTTATTAGATGATATTGTGAAAAGAGGAGAGGCAATTGATGATAAAGTGTTGGAAGAAATGACAAAACCAACTCCAGATACTACTGACGTAATTTGTTTTACAAGTGGAACAACAGGAAGACCTAAAGGAGGAATGATATCTCATAAAAATTATACAGCAAATATCAGAGGTGGAGAAGATTCCCAGTTTCTTTTGAATGAGACCGATGTCATAATGTCTTATCTCCCGCTAGCACATTGATATGAAAAATGGTTAATGGCTCTTTGCTTATGGAGAGGAGTAGCTATAGGATATTTTAACGGAAATCCTCTGACACTTGTTAAGGATATTCAAATGCTCAAACCAACAATTCTTCCTGCAGTTCCAAGAGTCTTGACAAAAATATATGACACTATAAATTTGTTGATGTCTCAAAAGGAATATATTCATAAACTGTACAAGGTTGCACTAAAACAGAAGCTGCTCAAAATCAAAAACGAATGAAAGTTTACTCATCTGCTTTGGGACTCTGTAATTTTTAAAAACCATAGGGCAATAATTGGAGGAAGAGTTAGATTCATGCTCACAGGGTCAGCTCCAATATCACCAGAGATCTTAGATGCCTTAAAATGAAGTTTCTGCAGTCAAATCGTTGAAGGCTATGGTCAAACAGAAACTAATGCTCCTTGTTTAATCGTAAATCCTGATGACAACGAATCCGGACACATTGGTGGACCACTTACATGAGCAAAAATTAAATTAGAGGATATCCCAGATATGGAATATTTCCGTACAGATAAGCCATATCCAAGAGGTGAAATCTGTGTTAAAGGACCTGTAGTTTTTCAAGGATACTACAAAGCTGATGATAAGAACCAAGAAGCTTTCGATGACAAAGGCTGGCTCCACACAGGTGATGTCGCTGAAATCAGACCTAATGGATCTGTCAAATTGATTGATAGAAAGAAAAATTTATTCAAACTGTCACAAGGTGAATATATCTCTCCTGAGAAACTTGAGAACGTCTACAACAAGTCTCAGTTTGTGGCCCAGATCTTTGTGCATGGGTTAAGCACCATGAGCTATTTGGTGGCTGTAATCGTCCCAGATCCAGATTTTCTGAAAGTATGGGCATCAAAGAAAGGATTAGACTTTGACTTGAATGCTATTTTGGAATCTCAAGATTTAAAAGATGAAATACAGCAAGATCTTGATGATAGAGCAAAGAATGCAAATTTGAACAGTCTTGAAAGGATCAAGAAGCTCCACCTTACACCAGAGATGTTTTCTGTTGAAAACGGTTTATTGACTCCATCCATGAAGCTAGTCAGACACCATGCAAAGACAACATTTAAAGACAAAATACAGGATATGTACAATGAATAATTCAATCGATTATGCCTTACCCGGGGTTTTGGGGTTTTGGGGTTTTGGGGTTTTGGGG